TCATGGAATGGAGCTGGGAGACAGAGTGATGAAAAAGGCGAAGGGGTTAGAGAGAGAAAGTCAAAAGAGAGGTGGGAGAGAAAGTTGGGGCGGCTTGTCTAAACAAAACTCAAGAAGATTCACTCTCAACATCAAGTTCAACATAGTTAATTTATTTCATAAAAAAAATTAGGGATAATTTCACTGACTCTCCCAGTAGTTTGACCAAATATCAGTCTAAAACATCTTTCGAAGATAACTATCACTTAGGTCCATTTTCGCTTTTCCGTTACTGTCTACGTTAAAAACATGGGAAATGTGATACCCCTCGGATCCGAGACACGGGTTGATCAGGCCCAGGCCCAAACCCGAGGGAATATCAAACAATTAATATTTTATAATGAACACGGAATACAAAATAAATTAAGAAATGAAATTAAAGCTGGAAGGAACTAAAAATAGAATCCGCAAAATATTATAATTATTAAAATCCATCAAACCCAAACTCCAAAACTCCATCAGTTTACAACTTGGGAATCCATCTCTAGTGGACCCTTATTAAACATCCAAACGGAAGATAGAACAACTGTAATAAACGTCCAAAAATAAAACTATAGAGAGAGCCCTACATCGTCGGAAGAGTGAATAGAGACCTCTGCTCAGCACGAACACGTCTAAGCCTGGAACTGTCGTGTACCTGAAAAATAGAAGTGGGTCAGGCCCACGCGCAAGTTCTATACTACTACAATCCAAACAGAGGCCCGATACGCATGTACATCCAAAACAATTCAACAATAGCTAATAGTCCGTAAATATATATATAGTCACACTAAAGGACTCTCACTGGACTACAGGCCGGTCTCAACCTGAATAGAGGTAACATACTAAAACGCACACGAAGTGGGCATATGTACCTATACCTAAACAGGGTACACCTCCAACCATCGTAGCCAGCTACACATTCCGATGCATATACGCTCCCTAGCCATCGGTCCTGAGGCTCAAGCTCATATCGAGGCACCATAACAGTACCTATATAAAATCCATCCAAAATCCCTGGTATTGCCGCTCAACAAGTAGTTGCCATGACAATACAAATCCATGGGACTTAACTTTTAGTTAATCCCATCCTTATTCCAAGTAGGTGGGTAATGGTATTGTTTTAAAAGCCAAACCCATCCTTAGTATGCCACCGTCCCATACCGGTGCCTACTTTCCAATCCTCCAGTAGTCAATAATACCAATAAATTAAGTATATATCAACTAAATTCCAACATCCAACATTCAATGTTAGCAGTGATAATATAAGCATTGATAAACAGGGTCACAACAACAACATATACATGCCCAATTTAAGTTGTTCCCTTTAGTCTGATATAAAGACAGAATTAATTAAAACTTCCATTTAACACCTTACAAATGACATACAGATATGTAGCGTATGTATCACAAAATCCTAACCTCCACAGTTGATACTAACTGTGATAATGTAAGTATCAAAATAATATTCACAGTATGTATGTAGACATGCTCAAATTATAGTGTTCCACAAAACCGATCTAGTGTTAAACTCAAATCCTCCTAGTATTTAAGTTCCAACAGTTGCTATTACAGAAGTTAAGATAACTATAATCTAGACCCATCCTTCCAATAATTTATACTAACAGTGGTAAGGAAAACGTGAACCACAGAACCACAATGCATCCACAAACATGCTTAGTCTAGGTTGAACAAGCATACAACACTACTGTAACTACCAGTTTCATAGCAAAATAGATATCATTTTAGTTTGGTTTAATCTTCATTAATCCTGGAATCATTTAAAAGTGTAAAGAGTATGAAGCCTAAGGGAAAGAGTAAGGATAGAATCTTGCCTCAGAAACTTTTGTTCAAAGTTTCAACGTCATCTTCTTAAAAAATCCCGGCGAGTTCCAAAACCCAGTTATTGTTCACGGGTACGAAACACTATTCCCGAACTCAAAATCTGATCTCCACCGTTCAGATTGTGCGACACTGAGTCATGAACCTATCCTCCAAATTTCAACTCGATCGGACCACGGACGAAGCAGGATCGGATGTTTGATGAAATCTGGGCAGAATGGAAAAAAAAACCTGTGCGACCCAGTTACTGTTCACGAGTACGAATCACTGTTCCCGAGGTCAAACTCTGATCTCAACCGTTCAGATTGTGCATCACTGAGTCATGAACCTCTCATCCAAAATTCAGCTCAATCGGACCACGGACGAAGCAGAATCGGCTGTTTGATGAAATCTGGGTAGAATGGAAAAAACCTGCGCGACCCAGTTACTGTTCACGAGTACGAATCACTGTTCCCGAGGTCAAAATCTAATCTCAACCGTTCAGATTATGCGTCACTGAGTCTTGAATCTCTCCTCCAAAATTCAGCTCGATCGGACCACGGACGAAGTGGGATCGGAGCTTTGATCAAACCTTGGCAGAATGTGAAAAACTGCGTTTTTCCTTCTCCACTTCCACAAAACGTGCGCTTTGTTTAAAAAAAACTCTACACAGACGTCTACCTTATACTTATAGAGTTTTCCTAAACCCTAGGTTCATTTAAGTCCAACTCAGAATCCTAACCGGCCCATCCAATTAACGTAGAAACCTACGACGGCTATAATATAAAACCCTAATTTATACTATAATTAAAACCCTAGTTAGATGTATTTACCTAATTACCCTATTCACCATTAATCTAATTGAACAAAATAATAATTAGTAAACCCAATTAAACCAAATAAGACACACATAAAATAAGACACACATAGAATAATTAAACCAATTACACTTAAACCATTAATGCCAATTAAATAATTAAAACACTAATAAGTAATTCCAATCAAATAACTAAACCAATTACATTTAAACCATTAATGCCAATTAAATAATTAAAACACTAATAAGTAATTCCAATCAAATAACTAAACCAATTACACTTAAACTATTAATGCCAATTAAATAATTAAAACACTAACAAGTAATTCCAATCAAATAACTAAAAATAAATATCATTTAAATAAATTAAATCACCACAAAAGAAAACAATTAAGCACCTAATAAAAAAAATAATGACACATAATCAACTAAAATGCACTTAAATAATAAATTAAATACTAGGAATATCCTTTTTAAAATTAGGGGTATTACAGGAAAAGACATGTTTGCCCCTAATTTTTTAATCACTTTTATTCTAAAATATTAGATAATATAAATGACTTTTTTACCCCTACACACACTATTTCTCTCTCCTCTATCTCTATCCAAATTCTCTGCTCCCGAATTTCTAACTCCACCCAATTGCTCCTCGATCTCTTCTCTACAGAAACACAAAACCTTCTAGAGTCCAAATTTCGTACCATCAAGCCCAAGTTCTAGAGCCATCTACATACATCACCGAACAAATCCATATACCTTCCATCCAACTGCGTATTGCCGATCAAGTGGATCTGTAAATATGGGTTCATCGTCGATGCCTCTGCAATTTAGGTCTGCAAATAGTGGTTCTCTTCCACTATTTTGGCACCATCGTCGGTGCCTCTGTAATTTGGGTCTGCAAATATGGGTTCACTTCCACCATCGATGCCTACGCTTTCTCAATCTCTCTGTCTCTCTCTCCACCTGTTTATTTAAGAGTTTTCGACATTAGTTGGGCTTACCGGATGTAACTGAGTGCACCAAATGGGAATGCACCAGATGGGTTGCAGGAGGTGGCGGCATGAGAGTTGGTGTCTTTGTTGATGGTGTCGGCGTCGGAGACTTGTCTGGCCTGAGAGATTAGAGAGAGAAAAAGAAGAGAGAGAAAGAGAGTGGAGAGGGAGGGGACCCATAAACAGAAAAAAATAAATAAAAAATTAACAAAAATAAATAAACATATAAATTCAACCAATTAATTCCTAAATCAACCCATTTGGAATTTTTGAATAAACATATAAATTCAACCAATTAATTCCTAAGTCAACTAATTAATTAGCAGTTAGCACTCCTCTAAAAATAAAAGGAGTAATAAATTTGAAATTTTTGTCAACCAATTAATTCCTAAATCATACAAATCCACCAATCTGAAAAAACATAAACATGCAATAAGCAATGCTCACGAACCTAAACATATATAATTCAAATATTAAAAATATATATATGAATGGGTGATTTTTTTTATTTTATTATTCTATTTTAGTTTTTAAAATTTTTCTTATTTTTCTCTTTCTCTTTTTAAATTTCATTAATTTTTATAAAATAAAATAAAATTTTCTTACTTAAAATTTCATTAATTTTCTTAAAAAAATATAGAACCGGACACTTGTGTGGCATATAATAGTCCTCAATACCACACTGTATGATGTTGATCATCTATTTTATTTATTTTTGTATATGGAAAAGGAGGGTAAACATGTCATTTGAATAGTCAAACTAAAGTCAAATGAGGGTAAACATGTAATTTTAATTATTAAAGAAATAATTTAGTGGGTTAAACCAAAATCAAAGGGTAAAAATATCTTTTTATATGTAAAAAGTGGTTTGACATACTTGTCAATTAACTTTTAAGATGTAAGTGAAAAACGATTTGTAATGTAAATGATAATTATTTTTGAAAAATATTTTAATCTTATATTTGACCAAACTACTTAATTGTCAGTAAAATTATCCCAAAAAATTTACTCGACTCAAGCAAAAAGTCATAGCAGGTAGAAAGTTGAGAGGTCAAAATTTTCTGCCAGTAAAAGGACGAGAGCAAGTAAAAGGACGAGAGCAAGTTATTTGACAGTTGACACGACAGATAATAATTATAAAATAAAACTAACTAGCTAATACAAAATTGTATTCTGATTGCAGGATCCTATTAATTAATTAATTAATTCTTAGAATAAAAGGTTCCAACTCATTTGGTTATAAGGGGTCTTTGGTCAACTTTTGCCAATCTTATTTCCCAAGCTACGCAGCCTCAAATATTCAAACTTCAAAGCCCTTTAAAGAAGTCTCTAGGCCTCAAGGATTCCATACTTCAACCCTCCTTAAAACCCCATTCCATACTTCAACCCTCCTTAAAACCCCTTCTCCTCCCATCCTTATTCACTCCATTTCTCTCTCTCTCTCTCTCTCTCTCTCTCTCTCCAAAGACAAAACAACTCTCTCTCTCTCCATAGACAAAACAACTAAGAAAAATAAGAAATTGTAACAAAAATGGGCAGTCTGGTGGGCCATGTTGCACCTGGCTTTGGTTTCTTTGTCATTGGGTTATGGCACCTCCTAAACCACATCAAGCTCCATGTTCTCCACCCAAATTCCTACACATCTCTGCCATGGTTTCCAACCTCGAAGCTCAGGTACCTAGAGCTCTTCTTGATCATGGGAGGCTCCTCCATGTCCATAGCCATGGAACTCTTCATAGGCCCCCAACAACACCAACCCTTGGATTTTGACGGAACCATCCCCTCCAACCACCTCCACAACTTTGAACACTCCTCCATATCCATGACCTTCTTCGTTTACGCGGCTTTCGCCATCCTCCTTGACCGAATAGGCCCCAAAGCTCAGTATGGCCTCACCCAATTTCTCGGAGCCATCGCCTTTGGCCAGCAGCTCCTCCTCTTCCACCTCCACTCCGCGGACCACATGGGCGTCGAAGGCCAATACCACCTTCTCCTCCAAATAGTGATCTTTGTGTCTCTCACCACCACCCTCATGGGAATTGGATACCCTAAGAGCTTCATGGTCAGCTTTGTTAGGTCTCTTAGCATATTGTTCCAAGGTGTTTGGTTTATGTTCATGGGCTTTATGCTTTGGACACCAGAATTAATCCCCAAAGGTTGCTTCATGAACTTGGAAGAAGGTCACGTAGTGGTCCGGTGCCACGATCACGAGGCGCTTGAACGTGCCAAATCACTAGTGAATCTACAGTTTAGCTGGTACTTAATAGGCGTCGCCATTTTCGGTATATCCATTTACATGGCTTTGATGAAGATTCATGGAAAAAGTACAGTTGATTATCAGTCATTAACAAAGTACGCAGAAGACGGAGAAGAAGACACTGAGGATGTTGAGGCTCAGAAGAAAAGCAAACTCAGTGATTTGAAGAGTTCTATTTATATGGGAAAAGGGCTTGCTTCCATTGACATGGAAAGGTGAAAGAAGGGATGAAAGATTTGAGGTGTAGATGTAATTAGGTATGTGTCAAAATTAGGGTTTGTGGTTATGAATTGATTGCCCAATTTGTTCAAGTAAAGAAAAGGGCAATTTGGGCAAAAGAGTAAAAGGTAAAAAGTTGTGTTATTGTTTGGTTTGTATTGATGGCTTTAGCTTGGGGTGGGATTGGTTGTGTGTGTGTTTATAGAAAAGTATATTATATTTGATAATAGACAACCACCTGATTTTAAGTTGATTCTGTTGGATTTGGACACCTTTAGTTGATTGCTGGGACGAAAATCTATAAACTCAGCCGAGTCGGCTCAGGGTCATGAGTCTCGTGACTCGAGTCTGAACTGATTAAGCTAGCAAGTTGACTTGGTTTGGACATTTTTTAATCAATTACATTGCAAATACACGTGTTGTGTCTATCCTTTTTGAACTTTTTGAACAATATATATATATATAATAGCTCCCAAAAATTAACATCTTACACCTATAGATTCGTTAATGTGAGACCCCATTTTAACAATTTATTTATTTATTATTATTTTAAATGGTAAAGCAAACACACACACACTTTTTTGTTTACACACAGATTCGAACCTCTCCCCTCTTCTTTAAAGATGAGGAAGTTATACCATTAGGTCAAAGGCCCTTTGGTTATAAAGGTTAGAAGTGTTAAATGTTAATAGCTGCAGGGGTTCGAGTTTGGGCACACCAAATTTTAAAGAAAGTTCTTATTCAACTGAATTGCCATAAAACATCATATCTTGTAAATTATTTTTTTTTTCACGTTTCTTCTTTTATGCTCTTTAATTAATAACTAAACAATTGAATGCTTATAATAACTATTCGAATTCTGACTAGTCTCACATGAAGCCATATAAAGGCTAAAAAAACCTTCGGTGTTACTCCTCGACTGCCCTTCAATGTTAGAGTAGCATGATTCACATACGAATCTGATATAATCATAATTTTGAGTATTTGATGCTTTTGAGACGACTCAACTGAGTTGTGACTCGAATGTTTGAACTCAGTAACCTAGCAAAGTTTACGGGGGGTTGAGCATTTTCGTCCAAGTCAAATTATAATACTTTGATAATATTAAACGTTTTCAATCCCTTTTGAACAGTAGCTTTAAGAAGAAAAAAACACACCATGCATGTAACCATCGAAAGCAAAGCCTATATGATTCTCTGAAGAAAGGTGGTGGACCAGGCCCACCTTGCCTTGAACTCCAACGTACTCAATATTGTATGCAATTTGTACTTTGAACATGACTGCAATTGGTCAATAACGTGAATTAGTAGTAATTTACAATAATAATGTTGATAATAAAAACAATTTCATTAAAAGTGCTTGGAAAGTGATTAATGTGGACCTCTCCTGCAGCCTATAGTCTATATGATAAGATGATATTAATTATTGTTGTATCAATAATTATATAAAAGACAATATATGAAAGGTTAAAAGGGAAAATAATCGCATAAATAGAAATATGTAGTAAATAATAATATTTTGAAGTAATAAAATTAATAAATTAAACGTACTTTTAAATCTAGGTTTAAAAGCGTGCTACCGCTTCTTGAATATATATATATTGTTTGTTGGGAAACGTGCTAGTTTTAAAAACTTTTTGAGGGATTTTGATTCATAAATCTTGATTCATCACATAGAGACAAGTTTTATGCAAAAATAAAATATGATGTATCATTCAAGTAACAGATTGAATACTTACATCAAAGGTCTTAGTAAATCTTTAAATCTTTCCTCTAAAGTGAATATTCTCACTTATTGTAAATCCCTTAGTAAGATGCTTTCTCCTTGGATCTCCATCTCCTTGGTAATTGTTTTGCCTTTAGGAATCACTCATAAGCCTCCATGAACGACCTTGAAAAACCAGACTTGTGGGAGCCTCCATTAGATTAGAACATAAACTTAATATTCTAGAGAAAGAAAATAGGTTCCTTTTTCCTTCTACCAAAAATTACACCTAAAATATACATAGAGCATGTATATTTATAGGCAACTTAAAGATAAAGAAAAGAAAATAACAAATCCTTCTCAATCTCTAATTCACATGTCTTAAATCTAATAGGATTTCAATATCAAGTTGGGCTATGAGTGAGAATCCTTTGGACTTATTATTTTATTGGCTACAATGAATTAATAATTGGCCCGGTCCATGGACCCAATTCAATTAATTCATAAATTAATTTCTACTCCACTAAAAGAAATTAATTGAACTCCAATTAAATAATAAATAACCTCTAAATCAATATTGCACTTTGACCCCTCTATGCATAATTAGTTATCGGATAAATAAAGCCATCAATTTGACTACTTAATTTATATATTTATTTTGGTACCATTGATTATTTCTGACTCGATCACAATAAAACATTTGTTTGACAAAAATAATAATTTAAATAAATAAATATATAATAAATCATTTTACCTAAAAACATATGAAGGCCTTCGAATTTACTTTGTGATCAACCATAATCAATACAAAATAAGTACAAGTAGTAATGATGCAAATATTGAAAATATAACATTCTAACTATTAATTACATAACTACCCAAAGTGTCGGTCTAAGGATCCCGAAGAATCCGTCGAACAAATCAAAGTAATTATTAATTAATAAAAGAGTCTATATTTTTCTCATGCTTAAAAGTCAAATGCCATGACGGTGAAAGGGAGCAATTGCATACGACGGCTCTCGCAATCTATCTCAACCTAACGCGGATCTAGTTCAAATCTTAATTAATTATGAGTCCATCCATAATTACCGATTATGAACCATTTATGATTACTATTTATATTCATGTATTAATCGCCATCACATACATATATAAATATCTCTTGTAATCAAGTGGACACTATCAATTCTATAATGAACATAATATATTGAATTCACCAATTGTATAAAGCATAAATATTTCAGATATGTCAGGAACTTATGTCACATTAATCCAGAGAGGAATTTGCTATGCTAGGGCATATAAATCCCAACAGCTCCCACTTACCCTCATAGCCAATTCAAATTGCATCTAACTCCAATGTTATCCAGATGAAGATCAAAATTATTGATCAATGACACCCTTGTTAATAGATCAACAAAGTTGTGTTCCAATGCAATGCTCCAGCCACGAGTACATTTTCTTGCCGGACAATATCATATAGAACATGATACTTCCTCTCAGTGTATCTTGTTCCTTTATGGAACCTTGGGTCATTGGTTTGGACTACTTCTGCACTATTATCGCAATATAGCTCGATAGGTAGGGTAGTATGCTCCACAACCTCTAAATCAGTGAGATCAAACCAAAAAGGCTTCCATTGCCGCCTTTAAGGCTGCAATGTACTCCACCTGTAGGTTTAAGTCAGCAGTTGAAATCTACTTAACAATCTACTAACTGATTTCCCTTCCATTGAGTGAACATACACTAAGTCATGAACCTCATAGTATCTACTTCTGATTGAAAATCAGAACTAGCATACCTGACTAGGACCATATCATCACATCCACAAATGAGTATGATATCATTGGTTCTCCTTAGGTACTTAATGATATTTTTCACAACAGACCAGTTATCAAGTCCAGGATTGGACTGATATCTTCTGATTATCCCTATAATGTAGCGGATGTCCTGTTTGGTATAGACCATGGCATATACGAGACTCCCATATGCCAAAGGATATAGTTCCAGTCTCATTTGCTCAATCTCCTCTGCTAGTCTTCGAAAACTACTTACTAGAGAGAGCAATCCATGTCAATCAAGTAAGAACTCATTCTTTGAGTTTTGCATACCAAACCTGGTCAAAACTTTATCAATGTAGGATTATTAAGATAAACCTATTTTTCTTTTAACCTGATCTTGCAAAAGCTTGATCCTAGGAATATAGCTTACATCTTGAAAATCCTTCATTTAAAAATAATTGAACAACTACCTCTTTATCGATGACAAAACTTCCACATCATTCTAAATGAGTAGGATGTCATCAATATATATAGAATCAGAAAAATAATGACATTCCCTTGTATACTCACGATTTATTCACTAAGAAATCTTCTGGTATATTTTTGTAGATTAACTTGCCTTCCATAGGTATCACCCTACTAGAAAGTTCTACAAGATCCCAGAATTTATTAGAATACATAGATTTCAACTCTGATTTCATAGTAACTCGCCAAAACGATCTGTATCCATATCAGTTCACGCTTCCGTGTAGCTTACTGGGTCCAACTCATGTTTAACAGGGATGTCCATAATGGTCTCACCTAAAAATATGATTCTGTCGGATTGGATGATAATCCTCTCACTATATCAATGTACCGATTAAGGAATCTGTGTACTAGATGATGCTGACGCATCAATAGGGAATTCATCTATAATTCGTAATCTATATACTAAGTGTGTTCATATGTGGTATATCAGGTACTCATACCATATTCTCTAACACTATGCTACTAGGTATGTGATTCATAATATGATTCTCCTATAGATAAACAGTGAGTGTAAACAATTAACTTTTATCATTGAGATCATAAAATAATCCGTCCTAGTGACTTTTAGAGTAACTTTTAAACTATCATGTGTATGATCTGTTTCCAACTTACTTGTCCATATCAAGCGCACATGTGCAAAACTACCCCATATGTGCATGTGATTCAAACTAAAATTTAGTCAAAAACACAGCTCAACGGTATCCTTGAGACAGACTGAGATGGAATGCAATTCATAATGTGCATTGATATCGTCAAAGCTAAACTCTAAAATGAAAGAGATAATATAGCATAACAGATCATAGATCTAACCATGTTAAGCGGAATTCTGTTATTCCTATTTGACACCTAAATCCATTTAGTGTCAATTGCGGAAAACCTGGTACACCACACCCACATTGACCATATAGTCTTTGCACTATCCTAAGAAATACTCATCTCTACGATCAGATCAGATTCTTTTGATAAGCTTACCTAATCTGTGCTCCACATCAGTCTTGACACTTTCAGAATGTACCAAAAGTTTAAGACTCGTGTCGCATCAGATAAATTTATCCAAAACGTGAGTAATCTTGCTTGGATGTTCATAAGACCACACGTGTCTGTGTGTACCGACTCCAATTGTCCTTTATGTCTATTTCATTTCGCTGATTAAGTCCTTAGAGTTATTTATCCTTCAAAACATGATTCACAAGTTTGGTTTAGGCTCCTCTGCCTCACTAGGTAATAAACCTTCTTTGACCAATCTTTGAATCTCATTTTGATTGATAACAACCCAAAAATAGACATTAAAAA